AGGGAGAAAACTGAAATTATTTTCAGTTTTATAAAAATATAGGAGGGAAGATTATTTGCATTTAACTTGTGATTTCAAATCACAAAAAAGGAATTAATTGCAAACTTGATTGGGGGCTTGATAGAGGGGCCGGCGGCATGTATGGAGGGAGAGAGGGTTGGGGAGAGAGGGGGAGGAGTTTCCAAACTTAAATGATGATGTGGACAAATATTTGAAAACTCCAAATTAAAATAAATTGAGATTGAATCAATCATGCAAACTTTCCTAATTTGGAATTCCAAATTTGGAAAGAATTCAAAATTTGAATTCTAAATCTCAACTCAACATGGGATGAGGGAGGGGAGTTGGCCGGAAGGGGGAGGGGCGGCAGAAGGTGGTCGGCCGGCGGCAAAATCCAAGGAGGAGAAGCCGGCGGCTAGGGTTTGGGGAGAGGGGATTTTGAGGAGCTTCTAATGAGGGAGAGATGGTGAACGAATAAACACAAAATAAGATAGTGAACTCACCAAGAGATCCCAAGGAAGAACTCACTAAGAGATCTTGTCATGCACTCACAAAGAGAACAAAAGAGAATAATTTCATTTCATTGATCAATAATCCACTACAATGATACAAGCCTTTATATATAGGCTTACAGGAGAAAATAAAAGCATAAAGTCACAAATGCCCTTGGGCTACAATAAGTGAAACATCCCTCATAGGGGTACAAACGGAAACATGAAATAACTAATAAAAGAAAAGAACTAAAGCATCATAGGTAAAGGCTCTGAATCAGGGCCGTCGATCGTCGTCCCCGGCGATGGTACACATGGCGAAATCTGATGCCCTCATCACCATGACATCAGATTCGATCCAAAACTAGACTTCCATTTCTGGTCGGCTCTCACGGTCGTTCGTCCCGAACTGGTATAGTCACAATCCTTAGCACTTCGATTGCATCCCGTCGGAGTTGAAGCATTGGAGTTGGGAAGCTGGGGCTTCCCCTCCAGTTCGGTCCGCACACAGAGAGGTGCGGGAAAGCAGATCCAATAGGACACAAATTCGTCAATGGAGGTGAAGGACCTGCAACTCATTCAAAGTCTACCTCACACGAAACATGCGAAGTCGAACATCAACGAAGAAAAGTAGAAGCGAGCGACCGTTCCTTCCGATCCAAGAGGAAGGGAATGTCGTCGAAGCGAGCGACCGTGATCCGAACAATAACGAACTTGAAGTGCGCTTTTATGTGTCTTTCGACGGGCTTCTCTCTTGCCCGGGCGCAGTGATATCCTTTTTCGCTCAAAACGAGCAATCTTACTTTACGCGGAAATTGTACTTACGCGGGGAATTCATAATACATTGGGATTTCACTTTGCATTTTGTCCAACTAAATATCAAAAAGTAAAAATGCAATGCATTTCTTTTACATTGCATTCCTTTTTCCTCCAACCAAACAACCCCAAAGTTATAG